GTCTCTAAATTTTTCTAAAATTGAGATCTACATGTTAAAAATATCCACATGTACTGTTCATGCTTGTTTATGTGCTGTTTTGGTGATTTTGCTCTTTTCTGTTTAGATTCCGATGTTTCCGGAGAGTCCGTTTTCGCAGGAGAAGAATTTGAAGAGTTCCAAGGCCAGCAAGGCAAGTCACACAGATCCCAAACAACCCTTTGAGCATGTTGATCCCGATTAAAGCTATTGTTTCTATTCAACTATTGCATTTATTTTCGAATGTCATTGGGTGGAATTAACCTATTGTTTGTTATAGCCCTTTTGTTCTTGATTACTTTATTACTTGATACCTTGGGTTATTATAACTTGACTAGTTGGGCTTTATATATTGGTTCAGTTAGATATTAGATATGAATGCTTAGCCATGCTTAGAAACATTAGCACACTATTAGGGTAACTTATGATTCACTATTAATTATTTAATGAGGACTTAATGATAGTTCACGATGGTCAATCGTGATTGGTTAATTAATTACTTGCCAATTAAAACCTGATAATGGTGGGTTGTGAGCACATGGTTTTGAGAGTCGTGCTCATGACAATTAAGGACCGGTTCACGAGTTTCGGTTGTGAAACATTAACCGTGCCAACCACAAGCCAGCGTGGGCAACGGCTTTACCTTTTGTATAGCATGGTTTATTGCGGGGCACCAGACTGAGAAGTGGCGGAGATAAGCCCACAGGGGTCGCTGGGGAGTCCATGCCTTGTTTATAAGGGGGTGATTATGATCCAGGAATGGTGCGCTGCGGTGGATTGTGTTATGCAAGGGGTATTGTCACAGCTCCTTTCCGAGGTACCGTGGTGGTATTGAGGCACATGGTGACATGATGTGGGGTTGTGTCTTGTGGGTACAGTGGTACACCTCTGATCAGAGTAAAACTATTCGAATAGCCGTACCCGCGGTTATGGGCGGGTCTAACAATGTCTTTCGTGATTAGTCTCACACCTCTCATCATAATAAAAGATGCTATAACTGGTAATAATTTGTTTAGCTCCTGGTTTGGAATGGTATATTCCTGGTTTGGAGATAGATCTGTACAGCCGGGTATGGTTGTTCAGAATGGTTGGGCCTATACAACAGGGTATGTTGTATAGCGTTGGATTAATATTGTTTAAATATTACTTAACTGTTTTATTAAATTCTCAAATGTTTGCTAAATGCTGTTTATGCAAATGGAACCCTATTATGCCATCCTTTGTTATCCTGTGCACTTGCATATTTGCTGTGTGGCTTGCTGAGTATGTCATATACTCACCTTGCAATCATTCATCAGAGGAAGAGTTCTACAATGATGCTGATGGTGTGGAGGATTAGGTGTAGCCCTGGTCAAGCTGCCTGTGGAGTGGAGTCGTCTGCGCCGTTTATCTTATTTTCCGCTGCTTAGATTTTTATTGATTGAGAGGAACTATCTACCTCTGTAATGACATTTTATTCGCTTATTAATTAGAGTAATAATTGTACTCTATTATCAATTTGTTATTGTGTGCCTCGGCTGATTCCTGGACGAGGGTTCACACACATGTAAGCGTTTGGAATTTTGGATAGAAATTCCGGGCGTGACAATTTCTTTCACCACGACGCAGACGGCTGGGCTCTTCAACTTCTTGCTCAGACTAGTTGTCGTGCTCCGCATGCTTGATGTGCTCCTCATGCTGTGTGACCTCTTCGTCCCAATGCTGCTAGGGCTAAGGGGGTCGAAGTCGTCTTCGTCAGACTCTCCGTCATCGTCGCTGTCCTCAACATCCACAATGGGGTTGGTCGGCTGGGATGCGGGGTGCGTAGGAACAAATGAAGTCAATCCGTCGACTGTCACCCCCATGAACATGCGGTCCAGTTCATCGAGATAGTCGGGCATCCCGTTCTTCAGCTTTCTCAATTTAGGATGGCCCTGGAAAAAACGATGGCAGCAGTCAGATGCATGGGAAAGAGCAAGAATAAAAGTGCACAACGTAATATTGAAGTTTTTGTACCTTCGTGTTGTCATCCCACCACTTCTCAGAAGCAACGACGGTACCGTCAGGCCTGCGGCCTAACCTAGTGTCTGTACGCAATTTCTGTATAAAGGTCCACATATTTTTCAAACCCCTGTATCTAAATCCGAATTGCTCATTGTCGTGGACCAATTCAGTGGCGGCATAATATCCCTTCCTGATCTCCTTCCACCCAGTTTTAGTCATGGATCCCCTTAAGCAGTTCCCATTATCTATTTGCTTGCAGTAAAGCTCGCAAAAAAGCTTGGTGTTCTCATTTGTCCAATTTGCCATATCATTGACATCCTAGATGCACAAGTAAACCGAACGAAGCAATGACCTTCGCACTTATCAATCAATGCAAATTAAACAACTTTATAACAATGAACTCTCGTCTCACTATGTCATGTTAATGCTAAAATATGCGCCGCAATGTATGTCATTGCTGTAAAACTAACCCTTAACAAAAGAACTGTGAGCAACAAAGTCAAAGTCAGTAACCATACGGACTAACCGTAGCTCTAACACATTTCGCAAGTATTGCAGTAGCTTTAATTCACATGGTTCAACAATATAATACATAGCAACTAATCAAACGCAGCAGTTCACAACAATATGTTCAATTGCAAATCCACACATTGCAAAAACTTAAAACGGCTGTACCTGTGTCTGTCGAGGCCGTGAACCACGACCCCTGCCTCGGCCTCTACCTTGAGAAGCGGCCGGAGCTGGCGGCCGGATCGGAGGCACGAAGACGCCTCCTTCGCCTGTACCTCCAAATGGCGGAGCCATTGGCGCTTCGAACCCAGCAGCAACGGAATGCGGTCTGCCGAGTCCTCCGGCCGACATCGGAAGGGCACGTCGTGCCCCAGATCCGGAAGCCCCTTGAGCACTTGGCCAGCCGCGCAGCCCGAGCGTGCGATTTCCAGTACGGGCAGGAACGCGTACGCCGGGAGGGCATTGAGTTCCCTCCTCACCGCCGCCTCGAAGAAGGTCTTCATAGGCGTGCATGGACGACCAGTCATCGCCGGAGTTGAGGTCGAGTGCCCCGAACTCGAGACGGGAGGGGTTTTGGCTGCTCGAAGACCCCTCACCGAATCCACCCGAGCTGAACGACGGGCGGCCGCCATCTCAGGACGTATGGAGAGGCTGACCGAGGAAGTCGTGAGTAGGGATGCCGGCGCCGAATCGATGCTCGGCCCCGTACAGCGGGCCAGTGGTCCCGCCGCCGTACGCACCTGAGCGGTTGTCCGGCACGTATCCGCCGAGGTGGCTGCCGTCACCTAATACGCGCGCGGCGTTGCCGTCGCCGTACCCGCTCGCGTGGCTGTCGTCGGCGAACTCTCCTCCGTTGTCACCGTCGCCGTACCCGCCTCCATCATGGCCGTCGCTGTAGCTGCCCCGTTGTCGCCGTCGCCGTTGTACGAATCCATTGCACACTCCGGTCGATCCCGGCCCACACGCCGCCGCGGAGCTGATGGATATGGACGACCTACCCTCCGATTCGCCGGGGAAAGGCTTGGATTTGTGCGGCGGCGACGCGTTGGAGAGTGAGCGGAGGCAGGGGAGAGCAATCTAGGGTTTGCACGTGTGACGACGCGATGGGGAATGGATAGGAGCGGCGCCGACGCCTCCTCCCAGGGGTATAACGGGCCACACATCCCCTAGGGTACTGTTTGGGCCATTAATGTGCGAAATGGCCGAATTCCAGCTCCCACCCCGTTTAGATCCAAAGTCCCGAGTGCACCCCTTTCACCGATTTATTTGGCACTTTGGGCCTATCTAAACACAGCCTCAGTCACAATTCTTTTGTCAGGGTACCATACTAATTTGAGAGCAGTGGCAATTTTCAGTAAAGACCAACCCTCACAGTCCATCCCAGATATATCTTTAAGGTGCTTACTAGCACAGCGCAAATTGTCAGAATATTTCTCCACACAAAGATCACACTCATAAACGAGGGCTACTTTCTCAATAATGCATCTATTAACCTGGATATAAGGAGCATTGCTACATCACTAATAGGAAAAGAAGAAAAACGCTAAGGGCAAAATATTGCATCAAATACTTTGGTCACTGAAAATTAAGGGCTCGAACGCACACAGGGAGCAAATAAAGCAGAAAGCACTACGTGCCACACATATGTTAAAGGAGGTGATGAGCTCACTCACCATCATCTCTGGTTTGAAATCAAAGCCATAGCGATTCAAGCCATAGCCTGATCGAGATGGCCGATGAGGGTTCTCGCCATGTGCAGCTAGCTTCATCTCCAGGGATCATCGATCGCTTCTCCTCACGACTGTGAGGTTGCGAACACACAAGTAGTGCACGGAAGACGAAAAGAAAGGAACAAGAACCTCGTCGACGAGCAACACGTACGTACAGTCTAGTAGTATCATCTCGCGTGCGCGCGGCTGGGAATGTACGTAATCTGGCGGAAGAAAAATGCACGGATAAGTAGCTGCTACTCCTTCCGTTTGTTTTAGATTATAAGACGAGTGAAACTACTTTAAGTTTAATCAAGTTTGTAAAAAAAATACTAATGTTTTCAATCCAAAATAAATTTATTATGAAAATATATTTAATAATTGATTTGAGAAAACTAATTTAGTATTATAAATATTATTATATTTTTCTATAAACTTAGTCAAACTAAAATAGTTTGACTAAAATGTCTCGTAACATGAAGCTGAGAGAGAGGAGTAGGAAAGATTGATGCAATCGTGGGATGCATGGATGAAAATCCGATCGATGAAGACTCTCTCGGTTCGCCCGTGATTAATGTGGACTCGTTTCACTAACTCAACATTTTGACAAGCCGAAGCTTATCTTTAAATTCCTCTTATTTTTATTGCCGTTTGTATTGAACAAAAATTCCCACTTCAACTTCAATGCCATACACGGTTCTCACTTCCCAAGCATTTTCTCGTAGAGAAATATACCCACAAACTCAACAGTGAAAATAAATCGAATGAAACTCAAAAACATACAGCAAAGCAACGAGTGGCACCACGCCTTATGCAAGCTTCTGCCATTGCATAATAATACGGTAACACTGACCTGGCCATCAATTTTTGTATGTATAACGAGTTCTGCTCTGGCCTTGTTACGGTTCATATTAGAAATACAAACACTTAATACAGCATTACAACTTCTAGTTTAACCTAATCTTACACAAACGTCTCACGGACACTGAGACAAGTACTGCTAGCTTAACTTGCAACAACAACGGGTGGGATAGAAAGCCAAGAATGAATTGCCTGAAAACAGCAGATCTACCCGTGACATTCGCACTGTGATGGACTCAATACATCCAGATTATTACCCTGCCAGGATCAACAATTGGTGCATAGATCATTCAGAGGAATGTACATATAATTACTTTGCACGATGAAGATCATTTGAAAGATGGCAGCACAATTCTGGAGCAAGAATCCACCCTCAAGAGTGAATGCCGGTGGACAGAAGCCACTGTTCTAGGTTTCGAGCCGCTACTTCATGTTTCCTTCTGTAGGAGCTGTAAGTCAGGAGGGATCCGGCGATACCCGGAGTTCTGCTCTCCTTTTGGATACACAAAGCTGTTCATCAGAAATGGAAATACCCCTACTGACACTTGTTTCTCTCAAAGTGAAGCAATTTTGTTACCTTTGTTTGGTTCGGCTTTCTCACTGGGAGCACCATCTTCATTTTTCTTTGTGTTCAGGAAGCGTCCACCCGTTCCTCTTGCCCTTCGCATAGCATGTTGATGACGAGACTCATGAAGATAGGGCTGCAATATCAAACACCAAATTCCGCTATCACTACAGAACACTGCCAGTGCTTAACAAATTATCGAGCTCTACACTTCAGTAAATGGGAGACATCCAACCAGGACACGGAAGGATCATCCTGAAAACTCAACACTCGATCTAGAGGAGGAAATTCCAGAATTAGCAGGAGGCGAGAACCAAGATATAACTTCACTAACCTTTCTTGATTTAACAACTTTTTTCTCAAGTTCAGCCTTCGCACGTGACTGCCTCCGTCTTAAAATTCCATGATATTGCTTAGCATTTACATAAACAGGCTCCTCAGATATTTCAAGAGGCAACGGCATACGAGAGTGAGTTAATCCAGGTAGCTGGAAATGAGTCTGTGCGGACTGCAGGAAACAAAAATGCAGAAAGTTCAGCAACTCTCTAAGGACAGTTTTAGTAAATATTCAACCTTTATAAAAGTTAAACCACGTTAAGTCTAGCCAAAGTGGTGGAGTCAACCTAAAGACATTTGAGCATTCAGATCTTTCAGGCTTCCATATACTACGAAAGCAACCAAATTTCTGGTAATCACAAAGTCCGTTTTTGGTTCAGGTGTATCCATGGTCTTGTTACTCTATCAGTTGTGCAGTTCTGTGCCCATGCCTGATGTCTGTCTTCTTGATCTTAATCCCTCTGGCTATTGGTGTTTCCTAATGTAAATGCTAGTAGCTGTCTAAAAAAATATGGTTTATACAAAACTAGAAAAAAGCTAAAATAGGGCGCTGCAATTTCAGCAGCCCTTTGTGGGAAATCACTAAGGTAGAGTGATAGACAGCTGCTCCAATATCCGCAGTTCTTCAATATTTCAGATCCAAAATTGCATCTCATACTCCAAGAGAGTAAGGATTGCATACCAGGCAGGAGACGATTTATGATAATTTAAACTGGCAAGGAAAAAGGTACCATAGCTTGAGGTCCATAGGGACCAACCATGCCCATATAGTAAGAGTCAGGGTACTGGTATGCTGCCGAAGCCTGCACAATGACCGATATGAGCATGAGAAAATGAGCACATTGACAGGGAAAAGTATACACGAGTTGCAGACACAACAAGATCTATAAGAAACAGAAACTCAACAAGGAAAGAATGCATACAATTGGTTGGTTTAGTTCCAGCTGTGAAAATGGTGTTAAATAGTCTGATGCCAAAGCAGTCATCTGCGATGTTGCATGATGCTTTTCTTGATCAGTGCTTCCATCTGGCATTCAAACAATATTAGTTCGTACTGAAATGAGGTAGCATGTTTTACATTTGGCGTTGACCCAATGCAAAAAAAAAATAAAAACTCTTCGCATGGAACTCCTAAAATCAACAATTATTTTATGATTAGCGGATACATACGAAGGGATCAGAAAATTTTGCGAAAAAAAGGTCAGATACTATAATAAGAACAACTAAAATACATCATCATTTTTCTGAATTTACTCTAGTTAAGTCATTCTTTCTTAGCATGACTGTGTATATAGGATGGTATTACTTAAGCAAAGAACCAGGCAAGTGCAGCTACAACAGAGTGAACACGATCTAGTGAGTAGTGACAAATGGTACAACATCAGCACAACACGACAGGCTCCACAGCCACTGCATATGCAACGCTAATGCATGATAGATCAGCGATACACCTACGAGTGTTTCAGGATTAACGAGGTGACCAAGACTTCAGAGTTCTACCATGCTCATAGCGTACTTAACCAGCACGCAAAAAGTTGGCCTACTTTCGATTCCAACCTCCATAAGAGGACACTCTTGCACTCCTAATTGGGAACATCTGAATTAGTCTCCTTTTTCAACTCAAGCACAATTTGTTCCCAAAACAAGCACGAATTGCAGAGATAAAACCGGGCCGAGCACCTACAACCACTCCAAAAAGGAAAAGGAACAATACCTTTGGTCTCCCCTGATCTTCGTGAGTCATCGCTGCTCTCCTCTGCCGCGTCGTCGCCGCCGCCATCCCTGCCCGACAGGCTGATCCCCGCACCGCTCCCCGGCGCCACGACGGCGGGCGACACCGCCCCGACCCCGGCGGAGGTCGTCCACCACGGCTGCTGGATCGGTATGCCGGACGGCAGCGCGCCCTGCCCCCTCGGCTCCACGAGGTTGGTTCCCCCCGGCCTCGACTCCATGCTCGCTCACCTGCTCAGGCAGAGTTTCAGTTTGCAGCAAGAAAAAAGGCACGAAGACGAAGCTGAGCAGAAGAGATCCAGGAAAATTTATTGATGCAGCAGCAGCAGCAGAAGTCTGACAGCACGAAGCAGGGATAGAATGGAATGAATAGAATGGCAAGATTTGACCTTCCTCCACACCTCGGAATGCTCGGAAGAACTGACGAGCATGAACCATTTAAAGCCACCGACAATTACTCCTACAACAACTAGGGCACAACTGCCAACTGAACCACCATGGGGAACTGGACATGAAAGAACCGGGACCAACCAAGAACTGGTCCATCCAGAGAAGATTCCTTGAATACCAGCGTGGGGGACTGTAGTACGAACCGAGTAAGATTCTCCGATACAGTTGGACTTCTGCAACCGGGCTCAGATGAAAATCACCACATATTCTCTCCTCCTCCTCCGCCGCCGCCGCCGCGGATCAATTCTCCTCCGCCTCTTCCTCGATCCGGTTCCCGAAATCCCAACCGGCCGGCAAACCCCCCATCCGAGTAGCCGACCAAGATCCCGTTCCCTTCCATGAACCGCATCCAATCCACCCACGAATTCGGTCGGGTAAGGTAAAAAAACCCCATCCAAAAGTAGAAACATCCAGACTCCGCATCAAAACCAAGGCGGCAAAAAAAGGTAAAAAAGAAAAAAAAAACACAACAACAACAACAGTAGAGACACGGCCGCAACGCCAATCAGGATCCAATCAGGATCCAGCAGGATCCTGATTGGCCGCAACGCCAATCAGGATCCAGTAGAGACACGGCCGCAACGCCAATCAGGATAAAAAGACTTAAGAAGAGGAAGAGGAGGAGGAGGAGAGGGGGGGAAGAAGGAAGAAGGAGACGCGCGGCCGCAGCCGCTAGTACTGACCAGTGAGCAGCCAGGGCGCGGAGGCGGCGGCCAATAGGACTCGATCGATCTCTCTCTCTCTCTCTCTCTCCGAGAGGCCGGCCAATCGGAGGCGGTGCACGCCTCCTCTGGGGCTCAGGCTCTTCGCTGCTGCTGCTGCTTGCTGCAGCTGCGGCTACTGGCTCTCGCGCTCTAGCCAACGAGAGGCGAGCCCTAATGCGGAGCGAGATGGGATTGGGCGAGGAGAGGGGACCATAATTATTGCGGTGGTTAAGCTCAGCTGCGTGGACAGGTGGATCCATGGATGGGGGCACAGGGGTTAGCTCCCGCGTTGGTGAGTGGAAGATTAACGTGGCCATTTGGATAGACGTGTACGGGACGGGGCAAAAAAAAATTACTCCTAACAAAAGCTAAGGGCCGGAGGAAAAACATAGTAAAGAGGATTTCAATCCTATAGAAAAATTTCCTATGAAGCCCTTTGAAACAAAAGATTGAATCATATCTAATCCTTTAAAATTCCTATATAATGGACAATCCTATAGAGATTTTGGAGGAAATTTAGCAATAGCTTTAACCTCTTGCTAACTTTCCTTTGAGCCTATATCTCTCATCCAATTCCTGTGGTTCAATCAAACGGTCATTACTGTGTTTTTCCTGCGTTTTGCAATCCTCTATTTTACACTTACATTTATATTAAAATCCTACATTTTTCCTATTCCTACGTTTTTTCAATCCTGTGATTTAAAGGTGCCCTAAGTGGTCATCACTGATCACTACATACTCTCGCTCTGTTTCATCGTATTTTAAGTCGCTTTTATTTTTTTTTCTAATCAAATAATTTTATATTTAACTAATTTTATAGAAAAATATAGTAGCAAATATATTCAACAGGAAGCAAACATGCAATTAAAATATGTTCAATGTTATATTTAATAAAAGTAATTTGGTATTGTCAATGTTGCTAATCTTTTCTATAAATTTAGTTACCTTAAAAAGTTTAACTACGAAAATAGTCAAAAACAACTTACAATGTGAAACAGATGGAGTAACACACACACTCTCTCTCTACCACCGTTTGAGATGGTTAAAATTGATGGATTAATACACTAATATAATTTTTTATAACAACTTAAACGTTTAGGATATGGTTAAAATTGATGGATTAGTATATAATATGATTTTTATATAACTATTTAAAGGTATAAATGAATGAATTAGCTATTCTTTCTTTAGAAAAGTATTTCAAATGGATTTTAAATATTCCTTTTTTGCATGAAACATATTTCTTAGCTCTCATCAAATTCCTGTGTTTTTTCTGTGGTTCAATCAAATGGTCATTCCTGTGTTTTTCCTGCGTTTTACAATTCTCTATTTTACACTTACATTTATGTCAAAATCCTATGTTTTTCTTATTCCTACGTTTTCTTAATCCTGTGAATCAAAGGTGCCCTAAGTGGTCATCACTTATCACTACATACTCTCGCTCTGTTTCATCGTATTTTAAGTCGCTTTCATATTTTTTTTCTAATCAAATAATTTTATATTTAACTAATTTTATAGAAAAATATAGTAGCTAATATTTTCAACAGGAAGCAAACATGCAATTAAAATATGTTCAATGTTATATCTAATAAAAGTAATTTGGTATTGTCAATGTTGCTAATCTTTTCTATAAATTTAGTTACCTTAAAAAGTTTAACTACGAAAATAGTCAAAACAACTTACAATGTAAAACAGATGGAGTAACACACTCTCTCTCTCTACCACCGTTTGAGATGGTTAAAATTGATGGATTAATACACTAATATAATTTTTATAACAACTTAAACGTTTAGGATATGGTTAAAATTGATGGATTAGTATATAATATGATTTTTATATAACTATTTAAAGGTATAAATGAATGAATTAGCTATTCTTTCTTTAGAAAAGTATTTCAAATGGATTTTAAATATTCCTTTTTTGCGTGAAACATATTTCTTAGAGCTTAGAAAACCTGTAAACGAAAATCCAAAATTTAGAATCAGAAAAGAACAGGCATACGAGGAATTATCCAGTGTTTCTCTTTATTTTATTTCATATGGCTTTTTATTTGCAGGGAGTGTGCACTGATGTCTGGGTGGAGTGGCACTGTGGCAGGTTGACGACATGAAAGAGAAGGATATTTAATGGTTAAATAGCGTTGTCAGGTTTTAGTTAAGCTTTGCTCGATGCCAGATGGCAGGCGCGGTGGCCGTCTAGAGTAGCCGGGCGTGCTTCTTGTGTTGGATTATTTAATTTGCAGCTTTATTACGAGTATACATCTCCACGGCATGATATTATTGATTAGTAATGTCTTCCACGGTACGCATTGTGCTGAACGAGGGTTGTTGCTAGTATTGTTGATCTTCTATGAATGGGAGGTGCTAGTATTGCATATATACAGTGATACAGGCGAAGAGGATAATTAGTACAGTAGTACATGTGGTGTTAACTACAGCAGTAGTAGTACTGGAGAGTGTATATGCAAGATAAGATGTCGCAAATTCCTGAGTCTTGCCAGGCATGGCTAGTGAACTGGTCGTACTCTCAGTAGTACTTCATCGTTTCATATTATAAGATTTTTTTAGCATTTTTCATATATATATATATATATATATATATATATATATATATATATATATATATATATATATATATATATATATATATATTAATAAATCTAAATATATATATATATATATATATATTAATAAATCTAAATATATATATATATATATATATATATATATATATATATATATGTGTTTAAATTTATTAATACCTATAAGTAATGCTAGAAAATCTTATAATATGAAAAGTACGGAGTTCTAATTATGTTTGACATAAGATATAAAATGGATGACCGTGTTCTTCTTTAGAGAAAGATCGAGCTCGCGCTTATCCAATTATGCCACCGTGTTAACCCTGTCGTAATACGACAAACTATTTTTATTACTAAGGGCCTATGTAGTTCTCTATCCTACCTATTCATTGGTAGTCTACCAATTTTTTTGGTAGGGTAAAGTTAATTAGTCTACTTTTTGGTTTGATATCAATATGGAGCCAAATTTTAATAGTACGCTGAAGAAGATTCTAGAATATGGCCAAATTAAGTATGGGCATTATCAACTGTTTGGCTTCAAACCAAACTAACAAATTTACTATTTAAATTATCAAAATTTTAATAGGGCACCGTTTTGGCTTCCATCCAAAACGGCCCTAACTCTTTTGTTTTACGCCGATCGAACGAGCCACCTCGCCCCACCGACCGACTGACTGGTGCCAAATTCGAAAGGGCAGCCGCCACTAAATTAACCAATAAACGCGGCAGGATATCAATTATCATTTGCACGTCAAATCTAATGAGATTAGCAAAGTTTGTACTACTACTAAAAAGAGCACGAAAGGTGAAAAAGAAAAGGAAAAAGAAAAAAAAGGACGTGCAAAATAAGAAGATAACCCCTTCTGTCTTACACGACACACCCTCGCAAAAGTCACTACTCCACGACAATAACAAATATTTTCTCTATCCTAATATATTACTATCTAAGATTTATAGGATGTAAATCTTATTTTAAAATAACAAAATTGATAAAGATTCTGTTCAGATTTATTATATTAGAATATAATAAATCTTATCTTATACGGATATGATAAACAGGGCAAGAATAAATTTCTTTAAAGAAAAAAAAAGCAGGGCAACCGGCCAAGGGCGGGCATACCGGTCAGAATAAGGTTGCAGCAGAGCGGGCATGGACAGGTGGGTAGCAGCCCGGATTTGCCGGGAGCTTTTCACCGGGAACGGGAACAGTGCAGTCCCGCCATTTTTGGCTGTAGGGGTGCACTCGCCGCCTCGCCGAAAGAAGCAATAAAAATCAGCCAAAGTCAGTCGCGCGATCGTTTCACGCCGCCATCGAGATGGGATCCACCCCTCTCTCCCACGCCCGCAACACGCCAACGACGCCGCCACTTCCACGATCGATCCACCTGCCTGCGCGGCTTCGCCGGTGGGCTCTTGGATCGATCCACCTGCCCTGCTGCCCCTTGGCTGATCGCGATCGCGCGACGCGAGAGAGAGACAGAGAGACAACGACGTCCCAGCGAACGGAAAACAAACATGACACACACACACGCTCCGGGGCCACGCGTCCGCCCGCGCGAGGACCCGGGACCACGCGAGGGGGCGACGTGGCCTTCGGTTGGTGGGAGCACCCTGGTGCGCGACGGCGACGACGATGCGGCCGTCATCCGCGCTGAGCTAGCTAGCTAAGATTGAGGGCGCGACCGTGACTCGGTTATTAGGATAATCTTTTAAGAGGAGTGAAAAAAAATTAAAACCATAAGTAAAATAAGGGTATATTTAGTACAACTTCAGCTATATTTAAAATGGGATTTGAGCTGAATGAAGCGCTCTCGTATAAGAGCAAGGATAGTAGTGGGCTATAATAAGCAATCTGCAAGTTTACGTGGAGGAGAGAGAAAGAAGAAATGTGATGGCTCTCATGTAACAGGTAGCTTTACACTTACTCCAAAACAAATACATTGCATGTATAAGTGGGATAAAGAGGGGAGAAGAAAAATAGAAAAATAACATTATAGCTAATCTATTAGGGCAATAACAATACAAGCAACTCAATTGAGTTTTCATATATACCATGTAGGCCCAAAGACGACTACTTGAGCCATAACTCTCATAGTGCAGGCTCACAAATACATTCAAATGGATCCAATATATGCTTATAACACACCTCGGAGCTACGCAACCCACAATGTCAAGTGGCCTTCCATATACAAGCGCGTGTGCGTGCTCTGCACCGCTCGTCCTCAAGTGCACACGCGAGGAACTCGAAACCCAGTTAAGGTGCGAACAGCTTAATAGGGATGCACAGAGAGCTGACACATCACCGAGTTACGGTAGGACTGCTCAACACGAACTCGCATCGTGAAGTACCTTATATATATATTGGTTTTAAGATGTACTAACAGCTAGCAGCAAGCTCAATTATTAGACTTATTTTAATACGATGGTTAATTAGGAACGAAGAAGTATGTTTTTTAAGCAATTTTTTTATAAGACTTTTTCTTTTTGGAAAAAAGTATTCCTACCCTTTAGCATATCCGAAAACGTACCGCGCGGCTGCGGGGGTGGCGTGGCGGATTGGCGGTTGGCGCTGTCCGGCGGCGAGGTGGCAAGCTCGGGATGCTGGGGTCTCGGGGGACACCGTGACACGCTCCAGTGAGAGTCGACAGACGTGCCGCAGCTGCCAAGCGGCGGTGTGTGTTTTTGCCTCGAGAGTGCTCTCCAAGTATGGGTTTCGTGGCTTCGTGCCAATACGCGATCGATGTTCTGTACATGCTGCTGAAAGGTAGATTGATTACGTGGTACGTACCCCAAAATGCCAAATTAAAGATAGAACAGGCACGGACTCTGCTGGGTTAGGTGGTGTGTTAGTCCCTCTCATAAAATGATAAGTCTCTTTTATAGGAACTAAAATTTTTGTGGGAGGGACTAGACTTTAGTCCCTCCTTTCTAAACACCACTTTACACTATCCGTGTTTAGTTTGTTCGAGTGATTAACATTTTCTCCTTTTTATTTCACGATGAATGGTTAGTACTATTTGGTTTAATATGGAGAACATGCAGGGGAGAGAGATGATAATTCGGTTGTAGAAGTATTTTGCTACTGGCATGCACGTCGAAACTCGGCTCCAAATAGGCGTGTAGGTGTTGGGGATTAATTATGTCCCATTTCACAGAAATTTTGCAATAATTTCGTAACGAACAGTTTGTCTTTTGAGTCTCGTGATCAATTAGGTTAGCTTCCTGCATTCGGACGGGCCTTGTAATATTTGGAAAGGCCCACATTTGTGATGGCCACGTTAACATATGGGCTAGTATGTTGTAAAAAAAAAGGAAACAGGCCGGTGGCCTGGCGCACACTCCGTTCCATCGCGGCTAGCCCGTTATCGTTGTCGGCCGTTGGCGTGGGGGCAATCACGGCTACCTACTTACCTAGTACCTACACGCTGCTCCGCGCAGGCCCACGGGACACACAAGGCGACATCGCCGCGCGCGACGAGACGAGAGGAGATGACCGGTTTGGTGTCACTCACCACGGCGCGGCGAGCCGGGACATTTAACTTCCGGTATTAATATATGATAATTAATTATTTGTTACTCACTGTTTACGATATATGAATCTTTATATGTATATGATATGTGGGTCTAATAATAAATAATTTATCACCGTTTGTAAGAGTAGCAAAAAGCTAATTATTCCACGAGGGGCTGCCCCTGACCCCACCGGTCAATGTCGCTGTGCGCCGTGCGGCCCCCGCGCGCACCCACGCCTGCCTGCTCTACTTTCTCCGTGCTGCCGCCACCGCCTTCCCCCAAACAGGCGGAACGCAAGCGGCACCCATTTCAAACTCAACTGGGGTCTTCCTTCTTCCCAGTTCCCACGCCGAGAGAGAGAGAGAGAGACGCCACGACGTTTCAAAAATCTCGTGGCAACGGTCGCCTAACGCATGTAGTATAGGAGTACGTAGCAGCAGTGCAAAATCTGTAGCAAGTGTCACGCTCAGCGCACACCACACAAGGCGAGGCGAGTCTAAAGTCTCTCTTGACCCTTCTTTTGTCCGCGCCGCAAATGCGATGCATTGGCATATGGCCTAGCCGAGTGGCTCAGCAGTGGCTTTTCTCTATTTAGAGGCCCGCGACGACGCGACCGTGTCGGCGAGGGAGAGAGCAGGAGCAGCCAGCCACAACCACCCAACACAGCTCCCTCTCGCGGCGATGGCGGCCGTGCCGTGGGTGGCAGCGGCGGTGAGGAGGTCGATGCAGGAGGCCGCCGCCGGCGCCGGAGCCGTGTCGTACGCGCAGGCGCAGCAGGGGAGCCCCGCGGCGCCCGGGCCGCGGTCCACGGCGAGGTCGGTGGAGACGCTGGTGGTGATCGTGGCGGCGATCGTGCTCGTCGCGGTGCTCGCGGGCGTCGTCGCGCGGGCGTGCGGGGGACGCCACGTGGCGCCGAGCGGGGACCGCGACGTCGAGGGGTGGGTGGAGCGGCGGTGCCGGAGCTGCCTCGACAGCGGGCTGCCGCCGCCGCCGGCGACGGCCCAGCAGCCGCAGGGATCGTCAAAGGCGAGTGACGCCAAATAGAGGCCCAGAGCTCCTGCAATTTGTGTCAGATTCTTGTAGCGGTAGGCCAGCAGTAGCGTGGTTATACGGGGTATTAGCGTAATGATTAGATTATGTAGCAATATGAACATGCTAAAATAGCTGCTCTTTTTGTCCAGTAGATCACGAGGTTAGGATCTCTAAATTAACGTTTACGGTAAGATTTTGGTTATGATACAGCATTATGTAAACTTATTAAGTTTAGGGTTAATTAAACTTGAATGGATGGTACATGTGCGTTTCACTGTTTCATATAGTACATATTTAGCCCCCATTTTGTTGCCGCAATACGTGGTTTTGTCGACAATGTAAGTTTTTTTTTTTTGACACCGTCGACAATGTAAGTTGCATACACGTAATATTGGCCTTGTTCACTCATTGAGTCCTAAAAACCAAAGCAAACGGCCATAGAGAAATAGCAGTTCGAAAGATTCCAAAATAACCTGAGCAGGCTAGGAAAAAGAAGAAAACACCATAAGGGTGTAAAGTTTTAGCGTATCGCATCGACACACATTTGAAGTATTAAATTTAGTCTATCAACAAAACAAATTACAGAATCCGCCTAGCACCATATTGTCAAATCATGGCGTAATTAGACTTAAAAGATTCGTCTCGCAATTTACACGTAATCTGTATAATTAGTTTTTTTCGTCTATATTTAATACTCCATGCATGTGTCTAAACATTGATGTGACAGGGTGTAATTTTTTTCTTTTTACACCTTCGACAATGTAAGTTGCATACACGTAATATTGGCCCATATCATTCATTCATTGTGTCCTAAAAACCAAAGCAAACGGCCAAAGAGAAATAGCAGTTCGAAAGATTCCAAAATAACCTGAGCAGGCTAGGAAAAAGAAGAAGACACCAGAACCACAGATCCCCTACTTAAATGAATGGATGGCCCCTACTGAAAATGCAACCTTCACATGAGTGGATGACCCAATGTGCCATAAACCCAACCAGCACCAAAAATGCCAATGTAAATGGCTGTAAACATTTTTCCCTTTGGGTAACCGATTAACAGTATAGACATGGACACCGAAAATGCCAATGTGGAATTTTTTTCTCTTTGGGTAACTGATTGATCGTATAGACATGACTTAAAACCATGGTATTTAGGCCTGCTAAGAAATTTACAATCGACCCGTCTACCAGCGTAGTGCAAGATAAAGAATGTTTTGCCTCAAGTGCACAACCATGGTACATAACCAAATGGATCATATTTATACAACAGCTGAAAGCACTCCAAGGGAAGTTTAAAATGACCTCTTCACACGCGACGATTGCTAGAACGCCATTAGCAACTCACTGATACAAAACAACTGGTCAGATTCTGAAAATTTTACAATAAGCATTCAGATATTTTATGCGTCAGAGAGAGCAGATATTTACATCCGGATAGCAGTCTTGGTGTACTATAGTTTGATTGTGCGGGTTAATATGCACCACACAAGATATTCTCCCCTGCAACAACAATACAAAGGGTTCAGTCCTTATGGGTCAGACAGAGAGCAGAGCACCAATAATGCAAAACGTTGGGCATCCTTTTCTCTAGTAAAGGTCTCCAATGTATATACTCCGTAGAAGCAGCAGCTAATCTGCTAATGTTCAGTCAGAGGTGAGAATATGTAATTATAGCCATACCAAAGGTAAACATCACGTGATCATATCAGTGTGTCATCTTTGTATAATGTCAAAAGAAATTTTTGCCAATGAAATTTAGAGTAGCCCAAAGGTCAGGAGGCAAAAGACCTTGGCTTAGGTTGTTATAGTCATTTTTTTGTGCAACAAATCTATCAGGAGACCAAAAATATTGAAATAAATCCTTATTTGGTCATGGCACATAGAACGCCAATACATGAGATGATATTAATACATTTTATTGGCATAACCCCCACATATCCAAAACACTTACCAAATTACAGTGGCTGGAAATGAAACACATGTGACCATCAGATAAATGAAATCACCAAAGTATATTTTCTAAAAGGACCTTTTTTTTCATATTGAAATTTTGCAACCCAGAAATGTATCCATACAGCCATATGCTGCTAAATGATGCCCTGACATGATAAATTAGCAGGTAAAAGGCAGAGGCAGCATGTCGACTAATAGCATCAGAAAATACTGTTTACAAAGATATTTGAAAATGTTTCTGCGTGGCTAACCGTGGGATTTACTCTGCTACCAGAAGGTTCTGCTGCAAAACCTTTCAATGTTTGCATTGGTCAACATCTTATCCAACAAAAATAATAGCCATCGCACAGATCGCATGGCCAACATGCCTACATGTCTACCACTTTCCATTTAATCCTCAAATTAGATTTCTCTTAGGGGAAATACGTGCCAAAACCACTTCTGATCATAACTCTATGCCCAAACAGCTATATCTAAATGCAATACCAGGAGTAGGGATTTTTTGTTTTGAGTGATTGTTTTGGATCTGCTTTTTTGGGGCGGGGGGGGGGGGGGGGTGATTTGTTCTAGTCTCCTAAAATTTCAGTCATGACCGAGACAAAATTGCCTGCTCTGCATTTATTTTCAATGAAATCTGGTCTCCAGTTTTAGATGACAGAAGACCGAGACTGAATTCTTCAGTCTAACCAAATATCCACCCCTAACCAAGAGTCAGCCTACCATTGATCCATCAACATTTCTTAGGACATGTAGCAAAACTACGAATGGCAGTCCATATTTAATCCATCAACAAATTTGCTTCACAAGCAGCAAAAATCACTTTATATGCAAGAAGAAAGATCAGAAGTGGCTGTAAAAGCATGCAAAAAGCTGATATGAGACTTGGTGAAAATATCAAAAAGTGTTTTGGTAGACAATCATGCTGGGGTAAGGCCATAGATTAGTGGCTTAGGGAAAAAATTGCCGAAGTCTCCATGGAGAAGGCAAGGTGTTGGGAATTGTTATGAATAGCAGATCTGCAGATGTATTCGATAAGGGGGTTCTAGGCCCAATATATAGAAGTTCAAGAGAGAGTCCTAGACAAAATACTGGGCAAATGTAAAATTTCTTGGCGTATGCTACCTTGACAGGAATTATATATTATCCATTGGATAAGAGAAATTCTTGGCAATGGAATGGTTAAATAATGAGGTTCTGTGGTGGTACACAAAAATCAAATGATGCCTACTGAAATGTTAAAGTTTTGTAATGCCAACTCCGATGCAGCACATGCTGGCAGAAATTGCTCGAGCACAGTAAAATATCCAAAAAAGAAAACGTTTTAATACATCATGATTTGTGGTTCTGCTATATCTGTCAACCCCAGAAGCATACCTGAAAGTCCCTGAACCAATCCTATTCCCAAATGTTACCAGAGTTGTGAAAAGAAAGTGTGTGATATATCCTTCGGCAAATCAACTATTTTCAGAAAACCAAACCTTTCAAGTTTCAACTCATGATTTTGGAGGTGGACTTGAATGCACCCAAGTAATAAATATAATAATTCGGTTTCTTTTCTAGAGCAAAATTTTCATTAGTGATAATCAATTTGGTATACCTCTTTAGCAAGTAATACGAGATCAAGGTCAAGACAAAAGTAGATTATAATCTGCCGTAAACACAAGACATTAAATAGCAAAGAATACACATTTCATCTAGAGCCATCGGTATAATCTTTTTCATGTGATAACCGGCTGAAAGCACAAGATACTAAGTATTATAAATTGCTAACATTTATTCTTCATAACTAAAGTTAAAAATATTTTTTTGCCTTATATTTAATTTCTTCATGGATATGCTGACAGTTTTCAGCAGGATTAACATTTTCAGTTAGGGAATTATGATCAGAAAACATAAAAGTAAACATCATAATGCTAGGCAGATGTTGCTCCCTTTTTAAAATTTTATTAAAGAAGTAAACAAATGATGATAAGGCGTTGTTTTTCAATGCCCACACACTCATATAGTAACACATTGAAGTCCTGAATCAAAATCTTATAGAAACATGATAGTATATAAGATGCATTATATGAATATCTTAACAAAAAAAAAGATATTATACTGTAGTAAAAATCATGATTCCTGACTTTGGAAACAAGAGTATGTTCCTTATAGTCATAAATAGGAGTATTTGACATTTAGGACAAAATTTGGTTAAACTTTTGATATTTGGGCCCATCAATTTTATATTAGAATAAGTACAGAGATCTAATATGTTTATGACATTACATTAGTACTTTTCAAGGCAAATCTACACACACCATGTTTTTTTTAAAAAAACTAAGCATTTGAGACACTATATCGGGTCAAAGTTTCAAAAGTTTAATCAAATCTTGTCCTAAACATCAAATATTATAACCAGGAGTATTTGGAAACAAAAAACTTTGAACATCTGAACCATATTTTGGAAATCATGAAAGCTATCTAGACGTAGTCTTTTGGCGAATAGATCCTGAGTAATAAACAATCAAGTTGACAAAAAATCAGCTTTCCTCATAGAATCAGAATTTGTGTTGCACTGGCCACAATAAGGGACATTAGCCTCTAGATGAAAGGTGAACCGACTAGATGATGACAAGTGATCACTGATCAGGCCTTTGTTTGGAACAAAAAAAATTCCAATCATCGTGTCACATCCTTCCTGCTAATCCGATAAAATTAGGGCGTTTGAAGAATGAACACTAGAGCAGCGATACCAATTTGGATTGTATAAACTAAGTCACGATATTTGCAATCCACAACAAAAGCAATCAACGAGAAAGGTTTCATCGGCGCTGACCTTGACAGGGATGCTGAGGAAGAACAAGTGAACGTGGCCCTCGACCTCAGCGACGGTGTCGAAGGGCACGGATCCCCGCGCGAGGTCCTCGAGGAGGTAGATCGCGTCCTCCACGACGCTTATGCCGTCGAGGCTGAGGTTGGCGTCGATGTAGGAGACGGCGCGCGCGCGGACGCGCCCGCCGCCGGAGGTGACGCGCCCGAGCGGCGCGCCGCGGTAGCCGATGTCGACGTCGAGGCGGCCGTAGTCGAGCGCGAAGAGGTCCGGGTTCCGGACGCGGACCTTGAGCGCGGCGGAGATGGTGACGCGGACGGTGGGGCGCGCGGAGACGGAGACGTGCGCGAGGCGGAGGCGCGCCACGCTGACGTCCGGGTCGGCGGGCCAGAGGAGGAACCCGGCGAGGGAGAGCAGCGCGAGCGTGGAGAGGAGCGGGCCGAGGCAGCGGCAGCGGCACCCGCGCCGCAGCCGGCGGAGCCGCACGGGGACGAGGAGGACGTACGAGTCCGCGTTGGCGTCGGCGCCGGCGCGGGCGTCCAGATAGGGTGGCGGGGAGGCGGAGGAGGGGAGCAGGGGCTCCCGCGCAGGCGGAGGCTGCGCCTTCGCCATGGGAGGGCGAGGGCGAGGTTGGTGGGGGCGGTGGTCGCCGGTGGTGGGGGTGTGGGGGTGGTTGCGGGGAGTGGGCTTTGGCGTAGCTTAGGAAGGAAGAGGAGGTTGATTGGAAGCCAAGCGGAGGAGCTCGTGAAGTCGCCGTGATGATCCCGCGGATCTGATGCGATTGGGTGGTGGCTGGCCTCGCCTTGTTTGTCCTGTCGCTGGTTGGGACGCTTGAATGTTTGCGAGGTTGACACGTCGTCACAGCGATTTTTCTTCACCGCAATGAGTTTCACGGTTAAACCTTCGTCAGTTCAGCAGAAGTGTAGGTAAAAAAAAATGATCAGTGGCGGAATCAGCGACGCGTCAAGCACAAATGATTGATAATGCATTTTTAATGATCATTGGAATTTTATAGGTGTCAATAGTTACCGGAAGAAGTGATGATAGTGGTATGGTGGTAGAGTCTAGGCAGCCGTCCGCCGTCTGATCTTATCATGATGTGAAATTTTATATGTGCCGATATTTACCAGTAGAAGAGATGATAGATAGAGCCCAGGTAATTGTCCGATCTAATCGGGATGTGGCTTCACGCATTGTATATGGTTTTAGTGTTAAATTCACTTGCTTAGAGGGTTTTTGTTGAAGAGATTACCACACTAATATGTAAATATAGTCCACTATAAATAGTAGCACAAAGTAGAAGTCGTTGGATTTTGCATGTAGTAGAACAATTATTATACTGGTATGTGTATTGTTTTGCATGTTTAGAAATCAACAGCCATATTTACAAGGGATAGTCCTCTCTTTTTTCTTTCTTTTTTTACATCTTTATATTGATAACAAAATCTTACTCATTTTCTTTTAAGACTTGACATCTTATTTTGTTAAGTGATAGTGCATACACTTAAGTAACATTTGTTTATTTGCCTTTTGCAATGACTTGAGTAATGTTTGTAGGAGTAGTCGGTCAAACATGGCACATGGCCTTGGTTATAATTTAAAGGATTGGAGGGATTGGAGCATTCATGAAAAAGAGAAGATATAGTAGATTTTTTATCTTTCCCTCTTACAATTTGCATCCGACTACTCTTTGTGCTATGTTTTTTTATAGACATGCATGTGCTGGCAGATAGCCAAATTGATTGTTTAGTTAAAGGTTTTTAGCAAGTAAAAATGCTAATGAGTAATGAGAGGATGAACCCAGGAGAAAATACGTATAGAATGTAGCTTATGATGAACTGGTTATATATATAGGTCATATTCAAATGAAGATGGCACAAAATATAACCAGTTCATCATAGGCTATATGGAACTATATGGGTCATATTTTATAGACACGCAAATGAACCTTCCATTACCGAAAGTGACAAAAGTTGGTTGGAACTTGAAACCTGAAGTTGGAACAGTTCCAACGAAACCCGTCGCCATGGGAGAAAAATTGACATTTTGCCATCATTAGAACGGAGTTTCGCTGGAATGCTACTCTCAAAAGTGTCTCGTTAAAATGCCACCCTCAAACAGGGGCAACATGTTGCAATGCCATCTCAGCCATTTATTCCCAGTTTAATGATTTTTGCAATGTTTTTCTTGCTAAGATGACCCAAATACCCTTGGATCTCATCTCCCCCTCTATCTCTTCCTCTTCTTTCGTCGACAGATGTGGAGGAGGTTGCCATTGCACATGGTGTGTGGCACCGGCATAGTTGGGGAAGGTGGCTCGGCTCAGCGGGGCCGGAAGGGGGGGGGGTAGGGACGGCAATGGTTCCACCGCCACCTTGCCCGCCACTTCCTGACGAGCCCGCTGAAGGAGAAAGCGGTGTTGCCGACGGGGCCATACTGCATCGACAAGCGGCTCAGGCAGGCAGTGACGGTGTCCATCAACTGGGTGGATGGGAGGCGACGGCGGTGGCGTGTCCCGACGAGGTGAAGTGGAGGCGCCAATGTGTTGGTCGCCCCTGGCGGCGCCGCTCGGCTCGGCTGGGGGCGGCGGTGCCGGCACGGTTGAGCCAGGCGGTGGGAGGCGCCGGCATGGTTTACTCGGTTCGATGGGTATTTTTGTCCGCCGCAAAGAAAAACATGATAAAATTCCTTTTGATTAAGAAGAAAAGTATAAAATAACATTGTAATATGTTGTCTCTACTAGTAAGAGTGCACGTGCAAAGCACGTTCCTCACTATATGTCATAGTAAACATATAAACACAGTCAAATTTATAAGGTTTTCCTACGACGCGTATCACACAGGACATATAAATACAAAAATTTAATATTAATATGCCACATATCTCTCCCTTTACACTAACTATGAAAATGAAGGACATCTAATGATACGAAATATACAATTTTTTCATAGCTTTGATAAATGTTTGGAAACCTCAAGCAACATATCTATGTCAATTTTGCATTCAAACAACTCCAGCTAATGATACCAAATATGTAATTTTTTTCATAGCTTGATAAATGTTTGGAAACCTTGAGCAACAGATCTATGCTTATTTTGCATTCAAACAACAACACTACGTAATAAAGTGTCTAATTGGAAAAAAAAAGGCAAGGAGTTCACATTCTACATTATAGCTTCCTTGGTCACCTGGTTATGCATGTGCACATATGCCTAGGCATGTGGTCGCTTTTTGATTTTGCTGTCCAGTTTGAAAACCCTGAAAAACGCTAAAAAAACATATGGCAAGATCGAGCTAGCACCAACATGACCTTGCATGGCATGCTTCCAGTGTTCATGGAAGTCTAGGCAAATTATCATTGGATGTGCAATATCTCAGCATCCTGAAGCACCATAGCCCTTACACATTGGAAACAATTGATCCCAATAATCCCAAAAGAACATTTGTGATGTGATTCTATACTAATTAATACAGTTGTATTATATAAAAACCAAATAATAGTCAGTGTTGCTGTAGAACTACTTAACAACGGCAATTTTGGTATACTTGGTTTTGAAATCTGCATTTAAATAGTACTCCCTCCGTCCTAGAATATAAAAAATTTTAGAGTTGGACACGGTTATTAAGAAAGTAGATAGAAGTGAATGGTGGAGGGTTGTGATTGGATGAGTAGTGGAGATAAGTGGGAAAAGTGAATGGTAGAGGGTTGTGATTGTTTGGGAAGAGAATGTTGGAGGAGAAGTTGTTATATGTTGGGACAAATACTAAGGGCTAAAAGTTGTTATTTTGGGACGAAGGGAGTAGAAGTTACACCTATTGAGTTTCACAGTTAAAAACAGCATACCTAGTTAAAGTGTGTACATCTACTATAAACTAAAATGACATCTTAGAAATAAAATTATGTTTACCTTGAAGCCAAGTGCACATGGACTGAAATTCAATATTTAAGCTTGAAAACTATATTGGCCCTCAAATATTCCTAGGGCGACAAATATATTTTAGTATAAAAATAACTTGCTTATAATCTCAGATAACATAGACCATTTGTTTGTTCGGTTTTATGGATTTCTGCATTGGTCCTTTTGCACTGACTGTCAGGCAAGATTGTAAAGAATCACAAAAATGTGGCTGCATTGAAGGGAAATAAGTTGTCATCTGTGAATACAGAGATGGACTAATTATCCGTGTCAACAGAAACAGGTGGTGTTTGAATGTTTGAAGATGAAGATTAAGTGTTCCACACAAAATGAGGTTGTAATAACATGTGATTAATTGAGTTTTAATTATTCCAAACTTGATAAATAGATTAATCTGATATTTTAGAACAACTTTCATATATAAAATTTTCGCATGAAACATACCGTTTAGCAGTTTGAAAAGTGTGCCTCGAGTATCTAAAATTTAATCCAACTTTTGTTGGAGAAAAGAACAGGGCACATTATGAACAAGCAGATCATGTAACCCACAAGCAGATTATGAACAGAAGCACTAATTATCCGGAGTCACATTTTAGCATATATCATTTGGAGAGCCTCCATGATCCTTGTTTGCTTGAAGGCTGCAAAATACCTTTACTGGGCAGGAAGAGCAATCCGTAAAGTAAAGAAGCCATATATCCCAAGACTCTTTTTATCCTGCGGTTAAATGAAGGGTTAATAATGAAATGCAAGGCACCAGAATTCAGAAGCAATGGAGACGCTTCTCTTTTATTTTTGCGAATGAGTGACGGAAGACCAATTTCCACGCAGTTAGCTACCTGCATCCATTACTGTCTTATGTGTGAAGGGACATTCTCTCTCCGTTTCTAAATATTTGACGCCGTTGACTTTTCTAAATATATTTGATCATTCGTCTTATTCAAAAATTTTAAGTAAATTATTAATTTTTTTCCTATCATTTAAATCATTGTTAAATATACTTTATGTATACATAAAAATAAAACTATATGTATAAAAAGTTTTTTTGAACAAGACAAATGGTTAAACATACGCTAAAAAGTCAATGATGTCAAATATTTAGAAACGGAGGGAGTACGAAGAAAAGAGAGGACGTAGTAAATTGAGACAAAACAGGTAATTTTTAAGAACATAAAATAAAGCTGGACCTTTTAACTCTGAATATCTTTACTCTAAAATTTAAATTCACAGGCTACATGTCAAATCAACCAGCTGCCAGGTTATATGATATACTCCGTATCAAGTTTATATATATATATATATATATATATATATATATATATATATGTATGTATGTATGTATGTATGTATGTATGTATGTATGTATGTATGTATGTATGTATGTATGTATAACGGTAGTGACAACATATACTCCTTACTTGCTTACAAGATGTGATTTTTGTACATTTACCAGTGATGCGACCACTTCAGAGTGCAGAGCGAGCTGATGGCTGCACCACCACCAGTCAATGCACCCATCAATACAAAGCTCTTGGTTAACCCAAAAAGAGGTTAAATTCCTAGAAGAACAAACCAACCCAGTGACAACCAACGAGCTGACAAGGTTCAATAAGAAAATAATTCGCAACCAAAATTTTAACCTAACCCAACCTTACTCTCAAGAATGGACGACAACAAATACAGGATAATTGCGGTTGAAAAAAATGATTCTAGCAAAAATTGCATCAGATCCATTTCACCCCTAATCCAATCAGTTCGATTATCAGTAAACCAACCAAAAAGGTCACACTTTATATGGCACAACTACAATGTCCAGAAACGTCACAGCACAGATAAATCATCTATCACCTTGCGGAGA